TAAAACAAAACAACGATACATCCATGCTTTTTGCAACATTTATTATGCCTTATTAAGTATGTACATAAACTTCAGAAAACAGTCATTGTTGTTCAAAATGAGAACCACCATTCCTAATGCACGCTCTTGCCCTGCGTCGTATTTCTAATGTGGTTACTTTTAACCTCAGTTCTGCCCTTATAATGTCAGCTGCTTCGATAATCCTTTACATTAAATGAACTCTAGTTCGGATTGGAACTTGATAAACAAGTTTTTTGAATCTGTCCCAGATGTGGTAGTCACAGGTTGTTAAATCAGGCGATCTAGCAGGCCACAAAATAGGTCCAGTTCGTCAGATCCATCTATTGGGATAGTGATTGTTGGACCAAGCCGTAACAGCACGTGCACAATGTGCAAGGCATCCATCATACAGCATATAAAACCGTCTATATATGTAAATAATACCAAACTTGAGCTTCTTCTTCTTCAAGTGCCGTCTCCATCAATGGAGGTTAGCGGTTATGGTGGCAAACGTTTGTCTATCTTCAGCTGCTCTTAAGAGTTCCTCAAATCCAAGTCCTGTCCAGTTTCTGATATTGCGTAACCAGGACAATTTTTTTCTTCCAATTCCTCGCTTTCCTTCTATTTTGCCTTTTATTATCAACTGAGGGATGTAGTATTTCTCGTTGCGCAACAAATGCCCTAAATAACTGGTTTTTCTTCTTTTGACTGTTCTCAATAGTTCTTTTTCTAAATTGAGTCTAGCTAGTACTTCTTCATTTGTTTTTCGTGCTGTCCAAGGAATTTTTAAAATTCTACGGTACACCCACATTTCAAATGCCTCGATTCTATTCAGGCTCTTTATTTTTAAAGTCCACGTTTCGACTCCGTAGAGAAGAACAGACCAGATAAAACATTTTACAAGTTTTAATCTCAATTTAATATTTATATGTGTATCGCAGAATAGAACGCGCATCTTAAAGAAACTATCCCTAGCTTGAGCAATTCTCGCTTTAATTTCTTGTTCTGGGTCTAGCTTGCAATTAATCCAACAGCCAAGGTATTTGTATTGGTTTACCTGTTCTAAAATATTCCCATTTATTTTTATAGGTAAGGGGATATTCTGTTTTCTTTGGATCACCATTACTTTTGTTTTTTTTTTCGTTGATCTTCATTCCAAACTCTCGACAAGCATCCTTAAGGTGGTCTATAACCCTCTGTAAGTTTGTGTCTGTATCAGCCAGTAGGACAGTGTCATCTGCATATCTTATGCTAGATATTGGTTCTCCATTAATTTTTATTCCTGTGGAAAGGTTTTCCAAGGCTTGCTTGAATAGTAGTTCCGAGTAAAGATTGAACAGCATAGGGGATAGTATGCATCCTTGCCTTACTCCTTTATTTATACTAATATTTCTAGATGTATGATCGTCGATCCTAATCTTGGCACTCTGCCTCCAATATAAGTTCTTAATTAATCGGAGATCTTTACTATCCAAGTTGATGCTCTGCAAGGAATTTAACATTTTATTATGGTTTACGCGATCAAATGCCTTTTCAAAGTCTACAAAACATAGAAAGACATCCTTTTGTTGGTCGTAACACTTCTGCAGCAGTACTTGTAATGAAAACAAGGCCTCTCTGGTCCCCATTCCGGCTCTGAATCCAAATTGATCGTATCCAACTTCTTTTTCACACCTTTTGTATACCCTATTGTGAAGTATTTTTAATAGAATTTTAAGCACTTGGCTCATAAGACTTATTAATCTAAAATCTGCGCATCGCCTGGAGTTAGCTTGTTTTGGAATGAGAATAAAAATAGATTCTAACCATTCCTCTGGTATTTCCCCAGTATCGTAGATTGTATTAAACAAAATTACTAACAAATCAATGTTATTACTTTCGATCAATTTAAGTATTTCAGGATAAACTTCATCAGGTCCAGGGCTTTTGTTGGTCTTTAATTGTTTAATGGCATATTCCACTTCGACTTTTAGAATTGGTGGGCTTTCAGTAACATTATTTATTGTAATGTCTATTCTTTCATCTCGGAACAGCTGTTGTATAAATTTTTCCCATTCTTCTATTTTATCTTTGGTGTTATGAATTAACTCTCCGTTGTTATTTACCAGTGGGCAATGTTGTTTTTTGCGGATGAATGAAAATTCTTTCACCTTCTTGTACATATTAAAGTAATCATGTCTATGTTCTAATTCTTCTATTTCTTTACATTTTTCTTCGAGCCATTTCTCTTTTGATTCTTTTATTTTCCTTCGTATTTCTGTATTTAATCGTTTGTAATCGCTTGTGTTCTTATTTTTGTATTTCCTCCTTTCGTCTATCATCTTTAGAATAGCTGGTGTCATCCAGTCTTTTTTTGCCATTAATCGTGTATTTGGAATTTCTTCCCTTGCAGAATTGACGAGGATGGATTTTATTTGTTGCCAAGTTGTATTTATATTTTGGATATTTATTTGGGTTCGGTCTATTTCTGAGAGTTTTTCATTTAGTTTTACAGTGGTTTTATCTTTAATCTGTACATCTTTTAGTAGTTCCATATTAGGTTTGTTCTTCGGCTTTGCATTTTTTATTACTTTAATTCTTGTGCGAATATTTGCTACTACAGGGTTGTGGTCGGAATTTGCATCAGCACTAGGATATGTTTTTGTACTTGTAATGGAGTTACGAAATCGTTGGTTGATTAAAACATAATCTATTTGATTTCTTATTATTCTTTCTTTTGTGTGTAGCGGGGAAGTCCAGGTGTATAACCTACGTTGAGGTAACTTAAACCAAGTGTTTGTTGCTATCATATTGTGTTGCTGGCAAAACTCTAATAGTCTGTCTCCTCTTTCATTTCGTTCTCCTAGTCCGTATTCTCCTACGATATTTTGGAATTTCCCTCTTCCTATTTTAGCATTAAAATCTCCTAGGACGATGTTAATATCTTCTTTCTTTGTCAATTTCATGAGCTTTTGTAGATCTTCATACCATTCTTCTAGTATGTCATCTGGCTTATCTGCGGTTGGTGCATAGACCTGAATAATATTCACATTAAAAGGAGAACTCCTTATTTGCAATAGCATTGCTCTGTCAGAGAGTGGTATAAAGTTTGAAACTGCGTTACTCAATTCATCGTTTATTATTACACCTACTCCATTGAAATGTTTTGGATCATTGTTGCCTGAATAATAGAGTGTTTTGTTCATAATTTTTGTTGTTCCTGAGTTAGGCCATCTAACTTCACTCAGACCTAAAATATCTATATTCAATCAAACTTGAGCAAGTTAATAAAATCGTTTACCTTGGACAGCAATTAAATTGTAACGCAGAAAGTCACAGCGAAATTAGATTTAGGATAGAGCAGGCTAGAGCTGCTCTTAGAAGGATGCCCAAGGTGTTATGTAACAGAGACCTAAAATTGGCATTGAGGATCCGCCTACTTCGCTGCTACGTGTTCTCGGTCTTACTTTATGGTATCGAGTCCTGGACTGTGAATAAAATCGATCTAAATCGCCTTGAGGCTTTCGAAATATGGTGCTATAGAAGAATTTTAAAAGTTTCCTGGGTGGAGAAAATTCGCAGCTCCACAATACTAGAACATTTCAGCATCCCAGTAGATCATAAAAAGCATCAGGCAATGAAAGCTGGAGTATTTTATATATGTAATGAGAGGTCCCAAATATAGGTTGCTACAAAATATCATGCAAGGAAAAGTTGCAGGCAAACACAGTCCAGGAGGAAGAAGAACCTCATTGTTGAAGAACTTGCGAGATTAGTATGGTGTTGATACAAGTATGCTATTTAGAGTGGCAGTAAATAAAATTAAGATAGCTATGATTGTAACCAACTTTCTGAAAGGACATGGTACATGAAAAAGAAGAAGATCCATCATGTTGGTACACCATTCTTCGACTGAGGGCGAGGGGTAAATCTTCTAAGAGTGGTGGTAATTCTCTCTCTAGAAAGTCTAAGTACACTTTTGTTTAATTTATTTATTTAACCTGCCTGGTAAAAAGTAAGGTCCTATTAACTCTCGTCCGATAACTCCTACCCAAACGTTGACACTCAATTTTTGCTGAAGAGATGTTTCTTATAGATGGGGATTGTCATGTGTCTAGTAATGCAGGTTGTGAAAATTTGTTATTTCTTCTCTATTAAAACTGGATTCATTACTCCATAAAATACTTTTAAGAAAATTACCACCGTTGATGTCTGCATCTAACAAAAATCGGCAAAAATTTACCCTTCTAATTGGATCACTGTCTTGAAGACCTTGTACTGGCGTGTAATGATAAGGTTAGCGTTGATAGTTGTGCACTACCGACTAGACCTTCCATTGCGAGAGATTTAACTATGGAGCAACCTTTCTGATGCTTGTGGTAGGATCATTCGTAATAGTTTGCAAAATTTGGGCGTCTACACCAGGACCGTAACGTCCAGGATTAATATCGGAAACAAGATTGTTAACACTGCCAGTTTCACTAATTCGTCGATATGAGTTAATAAAGACACTTACATGGGGAAGTCGCCGGTTAGGGTAACGGAGCTGACATTCTCGACGTGCTGTAGATGCATTTCCATTTCCATCACTCCAGCCATAGAGAAACAGAATGTCTGCGTACTCTGCATTCGAAAACGAAGCCATCACAACTAATCCATAAATCATGCGCTTTATATTTTAATATTATTTTCAGTTTTTAAAACCATTTGGCAATATAAATTTGCTTAGGTTGTCAATTAAAACCAAGAATTCACAATTATCTTTAGTCCTCTCATTTTACTAATGGTTTTCCTGAATAAATTATTGTAGAACTCAAAAGAGAATATTTTAGCAAACTTTAACAATGATTAGTATGGAAAAAATCACAGCGACCTCCCGAACTATTAGGATAACGTTTCTGGCTAGATTACTAAGTGAAGACATAGGGTGAAAAGAAGAAGAGCGAAATAAAAGTCTAACCTACCTTGACAACATACAAATTTTTGACAAGTGAAATAATATTGATTTGTTGTCATTGTAGGTTTTAGCAAATAGATTTGAGGAAAACTGATAAATTTAGAATTATTTTAAATTAAAATTTTAATAATTCATTGCCATACATACAGATAGATAGTATAATTTTTTATGGTTCATGTAAAATGGCTAATTTACCAGAACAATTGGAGAATTTAAAAGAACTGAAAATTCAGGAAAATATTGTCAAATGGCAAGCTGCTGATGATCCTTTAGCCCCCTTATCCAGTGAACAATTGGAAGTGATTTATGAATTGGGAGATCTTATATCAAATAAATCCAAGAAAGTTCCAGAAGTAATAAAACAGGATAAAAATCAACCTGAAACTATACATACCATTAAGGATTTTGTAAAGTGGTCAACATCAGTTGAAAACAATATTAAACATGAAAACTTAAAGAAGTATCAAGATTATTATGAACAGTTGTCTGCCTATAAATCTAATGCTGAAGATCTTCTTAATCTGTCTAATAATGTACTAGATTATCTTAATGACTTAAAGTCAAATTATGTTAGTGTTACAGAAAGGACGAACTATTTGCATGACCTTAGTGAACAATTAATGGCAAACCAAAGAATTTTAAAAGAAAAGAAGCAAGATTTAAGCAACAAATTAAAATATTTTGTTAATTTCACCAAGTGTCAGGATGAAGTTGAGAGAATGAGAAATAAAATGAATAGTGAGGAATGTGTTAAAATTTTAGATGAAATTGATGAGAGTATAACTTGCTTGAATAATCATTTACATTATAAGGAATCTAGAATATATAAAATGAAATATGAAAGTTTATTGAATAATCTTCTTAATAAAATATATGACTATGTTAATACTGTACTTGTGGAAACAACAAAGCAAGTGGTAGATCCAGATTTCAGCTTTCAATCATCTCAAAATCCTTCTATAAATAACTTAGTAGACTCTGCATTTTCTTTGTACTATGGTAAATTTCAAAGTGTTTCAGTGAAAGTGAAATTTATTTTGAATAACTTAGAAGATAGAGAAGATCAGAATGAACAGTATAAAAATGTCTTGGTGGATTGTAAGAAATCATATTTTACACAAAGATTGCCTATTCTTACTGTAGCTGTATCTAAAGCTTTAAATGAGTTAAAAGAGAAATATCAGAAAGATCATAGTACTTTATTTAGATCATGTAGTCTATTTACCTTTAAGGTCTGCCAAGATGAAGTAATGTGTTATGGTTATTTCTTTTCTAAACCTTCTGAGAATTTGAATGAATATTTGGGAACATTGTGCCAATATCTTTATGACACTCTGAGACCAAATCTTATCACAATCAATCACATAGAAATTTTATGTGAACTATGTAGTATTCTAAATAACGAATTATTAAACGAAAAGGTAGTAGATACTGTAGAACTTACCAAATTTGTTGAAGTGATCAAGCAGCTATGGCAAGATGTGGAAGAAAGGCTTGTATTTAGGACAAATGTATTTTTCCAATATGACCTCCTGAATTATAAGCCTTCACCAGGAGATTTAGCTTATCCAGAAAAATTAGAGCAGATTGAAAATATTGCTCTAGAATTAAAAGAGAGATCAGACTCTAGAGCTTCCATTGGATCACTTGAATCCCAAGAAGTTGCTAATATCAACAATCAAATGACACCATTTAGATCATATACAGGTAAGCCCCTGTTTGTTTATAAACTGAAAATATATTGCATATACATTTCATTCATAATACATATTCTCAAAACTGTCAACAATTACATGTGAAAGTATGAAGTTGTACTGAGATGTATCATAATGATTTTTAAAAATATTTACTTCTTGAAACTAGAATGTAAAAATTTTTGTGAGTAAAATATAATCTTGTATTGAAGAAAAATGTGCTAAAATAAAGTAATATTCTGAGGATGAAAAGACTTGCATGCACATATCAGCTATGACAGGAGAAAGAAGTGTTACATTGTGGTTACAGAAATGTTTCTGAAGAAATTGTCTCTAAATTAAAATAAGTAGAAGATATGAATTTTTGTATGAGATGTATTAGAGCCAATAGTCTAAGATTCTGCTGCAGGATCACTACATTCATAACATAGTTAATAAAACTCACTTTTTTAGATACATTTAAAATTAGGAAAATAGAATATATAGAATAGAATAGAAGATCCAAAAAAAAAACATGGTTTTCAGTTCTATTAACCAATTCGCTGCATGTACCTGCACGTCCACTCACACCTACTGCGTTTTGATTACTGGCTAAGTAAATTCGAATGGAGCTCTGACTCCAAATGGTGGCGTGTGCCGCCAAATGGCGTCATACGCAGTGAATGGGTTAAGATGCTTTGGTTTTGGATTTCTAGGTCTTTCAGGAATTTATTTTGTTGAAGTAAAACTCTTGCTTATATTTTGATACCCACTGGTTAAGGCTTTGCAAATGGCCTATTTTTGTTTCCAAAATTGGCACCATGTCTTTAGGATATACTGGTATTTTGGGCCATCTGATATTTAATTGGCTGTTGTGTTTCGGTAAAGCCAAATGGAAGTGATTAACACCAAAAATGCTATTAATATATTCCGATACCCTTACATAACCTGTTGTTTTGAAGCTATATACATAATGGTTAAAGGTTGAAATTGCAAAATGAGTTTTTTTGAGATTGAGGAACACTTATTTGTTGAGATTCAGTGGACAGGCTTGTCTTTTTATAATACTTAGCCCACCATTGCTTAAAATCAAGAATCTCACTAGTTTCAACTTCTACAGTAAACTTGCTTTTTGCACTTGAATTAACAATAATTTCTGTGTACTTATGAATTTAAAATATTCTGTCAAAATTTTTTAAATACCTTTTTATGACACCAAATAATGTTCAATTGTACTGAAGCATCTCATATCTGTAAGGGCCAAACATAATCTTATAATAGTGTGGTTCTTATTTTGCTCAGGGCAGTTGTCACAAAAAAGTTTCAACTCTTTATGTTGGGTGGTATGTAATTTTTTATATAAATAAGCAAAAAGTTGCATACTTCATTAGGGCCCATCTTCTATTGGCCTGTCCTTCATGATAAGTATAGAAAAAAGAATTTTCTGTTTTAAGATTACATGCAAAATACATTAACCATTAGTTGGGTCTTATAGAAGACTTCTTGTACAGGTATATGTGGTAGATGAACATTTTGCATAGAGTCAAATTCATATAAAACTTGTTGGCTCTTTTTTTGTGTACCGACAATTCTGCAACAGCCACTTTTTTGAGGTATCTCCCAGAGAAGGACTTTTGATTTTTAAATTCAACTTTTCACATTTTACGCATGTGTCTATTTGAGAATGGCCAAATTTCATAGTAAAGTTTTCGTGAATCAATAATTTTATTTACTTTATTATTTTTTCAGATACAGAATGCAAATGTAAAAAAGCCATACAACACACTTTTACTTTCAGATCTCCAATGCAGATAAAATGATCAAAAGATACTTCTCTTAATTTATTGTTTTCAGTTTTCTGGCTTCTTCATTTTGCTACATTTTTCTGATGTATCAGGCCTTGTAGATATATATCCTATTCATCCTTCTTCCTGCTGTAAATTCTGAAATACTATGTGTATTAAAATTATATAAAAAATAACGCATCTATATACCTAGGCTGTTCAATATATAACTTAATTTAACTTACTTGCAAGCACCTCTGATTTGCCTGGCAGCAACCATCTTGCCTTTATAATTTGTATACGTAGTACCACTGACTAGCTTTTTTGAAAAATCTTGAATATTTTTCATTATTTCTCACACCTCGCCGGTTTTTTTCCAAGACTATCTGATTGAGGGTGCTCTCCCTCACTTTCAGTACTTCTATTTTGTGAAATGTTCTATTTTCAGAAAAATGTGGTTATATTACTCTTAACCGCACACAGTATCGAATCCTGCAAATCACTGAAAATATTTAGCAACACAAGGCTTGCATTTTAAACCAAAACAGAGCGCAAGGTTAAATAGAACATGACCCAAATGTAAACATTGATTTCTTAAAGGGATCCAGTTAGTTTACTTAGATCCTTTCTGAACTAAACCATTATTTTCTCACACAGAAATGCAAGTATGGAATAATCGAATTTAGTTTATTTCTATACCAAATGGTAGGTTTTGGGTCAATAATTAATAATAATCGCATATTAAAAGAAAAATGGCCAAAATAGCACATAGCCCTTTCAGAAATAATCGATTCAATTGGAATGTTGCTAAAAACATGTAAAAAAAATTATACATATTTGTATTAACATATTAACAAATTAGACATATTTGCAAGAATGTCTGTAGTAGGAAGAAAAATCATGGTAAGCAAGGTATAATCATTACAAAATATTTAGATTACATTTTAATGACATTTATTTATGTATTTTGAATTCTCACAGAGCTGCTAAGAAGTAGTAATGAGAAAAAGCACTATGATAGACCGAGTTTGTTTTCAACCTTCCCACATTGTTGTTTTCGTACACCCAATGTTTAGTTATATTTACCTTATTTTTAGGTAATTCATCAGCAGACTTACATGGTATGTGGTATCCTACTGTAAAGCGTACACTAGTTTGTCTATCGAGATTATACTTCTGTCTTGATCGAACTACATTCCAAGGATTAGCACAAGAAGCCATAGTAATATGTATCCAAACTGTCCAAACGGCTGCCGATTTAATATCAGCTCGAAAAACCAAAATAGATGGAGGATTATTTCAGATAAAACATTTATTGATAATTCGAGAACAGATAGCTCCTTTTCAGGTAATCAGTATACTTTCCAATACCTTAAGCAATGTACCATGTAAAATTAAAAGTATATTAGGAATACATTTGAATTTTTTTTAAATAGAGCGGAGTTAACAATAAAAAAAACTAAAGTATTATTTTAAAAATAATTAATATTCATCATGTATTTTAAAAATTAGATCTTGACAACTATTTGTGAGTCCCTTATTTGTAGTTTAAAAATCACATGTATTAAAATTAGTCCGTGTTCATATTACAAGAACTTAACAGGTGTTTACAACTACACAAATTATTTAAATTTTTAAGTAAACCACATTCAAAGTTGCTTAAGTCTCTTGCGATTTTGAACGCACTGTTTTATATAATTGCTTTGTCGTACTGCCTGTTAAGTTAAGCCTATATCGGAACTATATCATATATAATTAATACAGACTAATAAGTCTTATGAGTACTTAAAATTTTATTAGATAATTCACAAAAATCTCTATAAGCAATCAGTTTGGATTTCAAAACTATATTGGAATCAGAGAAACCATCTTCCATCTTCTAGTATTATGCCAAAAATGTTAAGACCAACAAAAATCCAAGTGTTTCACAGTGTGATAGATGAAAAAATATTTAAAAATAATAAAAAGTTTGTATTGGTAAGAAAATGCCAGGAATACTACTAACTATCAATTATCTATTAACACAAATTGACATCATTACAGACTCTGACTTCATATTGCAAAACATATCTTAAAAGTTAAATAATGCATGTCACAAGTTAGGAATGAATATAAAAAAATATTACTAATACTTTTTCTCTTGTATTAATAACAAGTTCGATTTAAAAAAAAAAGGGTAAGTTGCTTATCAAAACCAAATTCATGATTATCAGCGCTGCAAATTTAGATATCGGAGTCTAATGGCAGCAAATGAAGAGATTAAGAGTTGACAGATTCAGCTACCTCAGAACTACTCCTAACTCATAATGGGACCTTCTTCTTCTTAAGGTGCCCTTTCCATTAGTGAAGGTTGGCTGAAACTAAGCAAATTGCTCTCTATCTTGAGCTGTTCTTATTATCGAATGTGTGTCCATGCCTGTCCAGTCTCTTACATTTTTCAGCCAGGGGCATTTCTTCTTCCTGAACCTCTTCCTTCCACTTTCCTTCCATTATCAGTTGTATTGTTCTCCTCTGTAAATATGTCCTAGATAACTCGTTTTTCTGCTTTTTACAATATTTACAAGTTCTCTCTCAGTCCCCATTCTTCTCAACACCTCATTGTTGATCACATGCTCTGTCAAAGAGATTTTCAGCATCCTTCGAAAAATCCACGTCTCATGCTTGAGATTTCGATGGATAATGGGATCACGCTGAAAAAATTAGGTCCAGAATCAAAATTACACAGTTCTCATTTACCAAGATGAGATACTTACTGTGCTGCAGTGACCTGAGTTAAGATACCAAGTTGGGGAAAGTGAGGTGCTACACTATACAGAGTCGAAGCCTGGACACTGACACAAACCACTGAAAAGAAGATTGAAGCCTTCAAGATGTGGATCTACAAGAGGATGTTGAAGAATATTAGGTGGACCAAGTCACCAACAACGAAGTACTACAGCGAAAAAGAAGTGCAACTTAGTACTTAGTGAAGCAACTAAAGATTTAGTACTTCGAATTCTTTTTTATAATAGAAATTTTCATATGCCATTTTGAATGTTTGTATGTACTTTGAAATGAAGTTACAGGACCTAATTCTTTTTAAAAATTCTTTCAGGTCGATTTTACTGTCAAGGAGACAGCGTTAGATTTTACTACAGTGCAAAAGGCTGCAGTCGATCTCATCAATCACCGAAACAAGATATTTACTTTCGGATCTAGTAATGCTCTGTTAGAGTTTCTTTTGGAGGGTGCCCCCAGAGTTAAAGAATATTTGGTGGATTCCAGAAAAGAAATTGATAAACAGTTAAAGCACTCTTGTGAAGTTTTTATTTTACTGGCGACACAACTTCTTGTAGGTAAGCTTAAGTTTTATTAGAAATGAAATTTTTTGTAAAAACGTCATATATAGTTTATTATATTTATTTTATATAAATCACAGGCCTACAGTGTTTTTGGTGCCAAAGTGTTTAGAGCTGATTTTAGGTATATTTGGAGTGCTGATTCCGAATATGGCTTTACTTTTGCTCTATCAGCTATAGTTTTCAAGATCACGTAGGTCATGCCAGGTTTTATGCATTAAAATATGAATATTCTGATATGGATATACTAAATTGAAATAAAAATCACAATTAGAAAATACATATATTTTCATTTCATTTATACAATGAAACAGATATATAATTAGTTTTGAGGAAAAAAACTAATAAAATAGAAAAAAAAACTTAACTTGACCTAACGAAAGCTTCGCTTGTGTGATTTCATGGAATGAACTTAGTCTCTCTTCAAACTTCAGCAAAAATCTGCCATCATTTGGGTATCCCATCTTCCTTGCTAGCGGTCCTCCATGGTTTTTATGTCTTGGTGAAATCTCTCACCTTGCTCCTCACTTGTGTCACCTAAGTTTTTAGGGAAACGGTCCAGGTGGCTATGAAGATAGTGGACTTTGATTCTCATATTACATCCAAGTGATTGGAAGTTATTCAGCAAATTGTTTACCAGCTCAGCATAGTTTTCACTTTTCTGATTTCCCAGAAATTTTTTGATAATGTTCACAAATGAAAGCCAAACTGTTTTCTCTACCTCATTCATTGACCCCACAAAAGCCGGATGCTTTGTAAGAAGTCTGATCTGTGGTCCATCAAAGATTTAAGTTTTGCCGTACTTATCTGATGCAGCTTCCTTCCTATGTAGGCAAAGCATGGTCTATTAGAATCAAGTGCCTTAACGAATTGCTCCATAGGCCTAGCTTAGTATGGAGGGGTGGTAAGATTATTTTTTCTGGTTCGGCTGGGCAGTAATGTTCTTTTGCCCAATTACCAAGTTTTTTCTCTTAGGTCACTCTTTTTTATTCCAGTGGTTTTTTCGGTCCCTACTATCCCAGAGGCACAAGAAGCAAGGACATTTTGTACAGCTGCTTTGATATTTTGTGTAGCCGCTTTGATGCCCAAGAAGAAAGTTTACCATTTTCAAGTCACACAAATTTACATTTTATCTTCTTCTTTCATCACGGTTGAATGAGAAATTGGTATTGACCCAAACTTATTTCTGTTGTGAAGCAGAACACATTTCAAACTGCGCTTGGAGCTATCAATAAATAAACGTCATTCATCTGCATGGTAGTGTGGAATAATATACAAATCGAATACATCGTAGTGTGGAATATAAAATGGCATAATACAGTGAGAACAACAAATATACTGAGAAAGAAGTTTGATTAACAATGTATATTCCTTTGAATATTCCAATGTATATTTCATCATTATCTCAAATATTAAAACTACTAATTTTGTAATGTGCCATATCCATAAAACTAGAGCTGACACTTCTTCTTCTTCAGCCTGTGTTCGTCCACTGCTGGACATAGGCCTCTTCCATTTGCTTCCATCGATTTCTACTTTTGGCAATTCTCATCCACTGCTTGCCCGCGACTTGTTTGATATCGTCTGTTCACCTCTTCTGTGGTCTGCCTACTCCTCGCCTGTTCTCTCTTGGTCTAAAGTTTGTTAATCTTTGTGTACATTTTTCGGGATTATCTCGGGCAACGTGTCCGACCCATTGCCACTTGAGCCTTGCAATATCTTCTGAGACATCAGTAATTTTTGTTCTTTCACGAATCACGTTATTTCGAATCCTGTCTCTCAAACTAATCCCTAGCATGGCCCTCTCCATTGCTCTTTGGGTTGTACTGAGCTGCTCTAAGGTTTTCTTTGTGAAGGCCATGGTCTCCAGTCCATATGTAGTTACAGGCAAGATACATTTGTCATAAACTCTACGTTTTAGACACATTGGTATATCTTTATTCTTCAAAATAAAGCTTAATTTGCCGAAAGCTCCCCAAGACAGTTGTATGCGTCTTTTTATTTGCTCCTCTCCTTTAATAGTATTGTACGTGTCAATTTAAGTCCATGTGCTGCAATGTTTTTTTAGTAATTAACTAAATAATTACCTTATATTAGGGTTTCCACTAACCAGTTGGGGCAGAATTGACCGCAAAGTAAAATCATACTTTGGCTTAGGTGTTAATTCATTTCCTAGCTACTGTTAAATTTTTAAGAAAAAAAGAACGATGCATGTTGAGGGAATTAGAAGTTAAAAACCGTGATATACTGGACTAATAGAGACCTAAGATATTAGTGACACCGCCATAATATCTCATCGATGATGACCCCCAAGTAGCAACAGGAAACCTTCAAATAGACCTGAACCTACTACAAGACTGGATGAATAGATGGAAAATCAAAGTTAACCATACTAAGTCTCATCAAATTACATTCACCAACAAGAACATCATATTTCGAAGAATCAGACTGAACAACATATTACTACCAATAGAAACAGAAGTTTTAAAATACCTGGAAATGACACTTGATCAAAAGCTCACTTGGAAAGCACACATCTTGGCAAAAAAAATCCAAATCAATATGAAAATACCTCAAATGAATTGGCTACTCAAATATGCTATTTGATTTTCTTTGCCGATTTTAATGGTATGTCCAAGATATATATAGTGGTCTACATTTTCAAGACTGACGTTGTCAATAACAAGATTAGTTTGTAAATTACTCATTATTTTTTTTTCTGAAGGTTCATTTTGAGACCCATTTTATTTGACTGCTGGTTTAATTCCTTCAACATTTGCTCCAGTTCCTTGATATCTGTACTAAATAATACTATGTCATCCGCAAACCTCAAATGACTCAAACATACACCATCAATGTTTAGACCTTTTTCCTCCCAGTCAAGCTGTTTGAATACATTTTCCAATGCTAAGGTAAAAAGCTTTGGTGAAATAGTATCACCTTGTCTAATACCTTTATCAAGGCGCATTTTATCAGTTTTTTCGTCTTCATTGATTTTGATGTGGAATGTGGCCTGTTCATAAATGTTTTTAATGAGTGTAGTGTACCGTGAGTATATTCGAGCATCCTTCAGGGCTGACAAAAAAGACCAAGTCTCAATACTATCGAAAGCCTTGTGAAAGTCGATAAATGCCATATGTAAAGGTACATTATATTCTGTGGTTTTTTCTACTAGTGTTCTGATGGTTTGTAAGTGATCATTAGCACTAAACCCTTTTCTAAATCCCGCCTGTTCAGCCGGTTGATATAAATCAAGTTTTTGTGTTATGCGGTTGGTTATTATTCTTGTTAACAATTTGTGTAAGTGTGACAACAAACTTATAGGTCTGTAGTTTTCAATATTAGTAGTGTCTCCTTTCTTGTGTAAAAGTATTATTTCGGCGTTTTCCCATAGGCTGGGTATTCTTTTTTCTGTTAGACACTTATTCAGACTTCCACAACTTCTACAACGATGTTGCCGCCCATTTTTAACATTTCAGACGTTATACGATCCTCGCCAGGAGAGCTGACACAAAAAACGGAATCCATATTTCAATTTATTGCCCCTAATATAATAAAGATTCAAGGCACCAAAACAATTTTTTTTTCTGTAGGCATGTTATTAGAGATACCATATCTATGAAACAGCCAATACAACTTATTGGTAGGTGAAAGGGTTTTAATAGGTTATTGATCATTAGAATTAGATACAATCAGTCTGTCATCATCGAATCAGATGTTACTGATCACTTGTCTATTGATATATGTACTGATAACAGTATTTTCCAGAGTCACTTTACAAATGTATTGCAGTGTTTAGGTTGAAGATAAAGAAAATAGAATGTCGCACCCGTTAATCTCGAATTCTCTAATAAATAAGATAATGTGATTTTCTGCAGAAATTTCACTAATGAAAAATTTACTCAAAAGAAAAAAGAAACTCCTTTCAGTCTGGCTAAATATATTTCGTTTTATTTTGTAGGTAGCCTTCTGGATTGGATTACCAAATATGAAAAAAGTGTACCACAAAACCAAACCAATGTACAAGATCAAACAATAGTCCAAAAGTCACCTGTGCCCCAAAAGGAATATACGAAGGCCTCACATATCGCATCTATCGTCAAAGAAATTCAAAAGAACATGAAAACAAAAATCCCACAAATACAAAGGTCTATGCAGCTCTATCTCGCAAATAGAGAAACGGAGTTTATTTTGTTTCGTCCTGTGAAAAATAACGTCATTAACGCTTTCATGCAACTCGACCAGATTCTATTAAAATCCGGCTATAGCAGTGAGGATCAGTTGTTAATTGGATGTCCATCTCCCGAACAGATAAACGTTATTATTTGTTCGGTATCCCTAACCGGTGTTCAAGATACCAAGACCACAAATGTCTAGTCATTAAATGCATGAAATATGTGAATGTTATATTTTTTATTACATTGGTAAGTTTTTTATAATTATATACAGATTATATATTGTTGAAGACTGAATCGATGCTTTGTTCTTTGATTCAATGAATTGTATTGATTTATTTTTAGTTATTTATACAATAAAGTCCTTGATTTGACCGAAAAGACTTGATATTTTCCGAAGAAACCGAACCTTAATATTTTTCTCCAGAGTTAGTTTTTCTTTTTTGGCTAAATGTGACGCAGTTCTGGCATGTTGATCTACCTGAAATTTCTTTTCGTTCTCTTTCCGATGCTGTGAAATCCTTAGAGGAAAATTATGAAGAAATTAAACATTTTTACGTCATTTTTCCTTAAACAAAGATGAAAAAACATTAACAAGGTCCGAAGCTGCCGGTTTACATAAAAAAATTAATACTGTTACTATACGGGAAAAGATTTTGAATCGGGGAAATTACTGACAGACATACGCATGACGTCGAACGAAGTGTTTCTAGAATTCTTTTATAATGTATATGATATTGTTATTTTCCTCGAATTTTTTTTTTATTTTTTTTTCTGTTATTTTGTTACATTTCCTTTATTCTGGAAAATTCCTTACTCATAAACGACATCAGAAATTTTTTTTACTAAAATAGATGTTAATAATTATTTTTCTTCCAAAAACGAATTTTCATTAGAACAGGCAATTTTAGCTCTATTATATAATGATTTAATGACTCCGTTTTTAACATTTATGTTGTAACTTGATCTATAATTTATAAATATTTATATGTGTTGGTTTTTTGTATACATGAGTCCCATATCCACTATTTTCCTTTGAGATTAAAACATCCAGAAACGGTAACGAATTATATTCCTTTTCCATTGTAAATTTTATTAACTCCTTCTTTTATCTTTTATTTATATTAATCAGAAATGTGTTTAACACATCATCTACATATGTATTTCCAACATATTGTGGACTTTAAATGTTGATAAGGAATTTGTTTTGAAGTCTTCCATCAATATATCAGCTAATAACGGATTTAAGAACAGCCTACAAAAATTTGTTTATAGAAATCATTGTTGAGATGAAAATAAGTGTTGTCAGTAGATAATGTTAACAGTTCCATTATAGCTGATACATTTATACCTCTTTCATTTTAAGTAATTCCCTTAGGGTCAAGTTAATGTCGTTAATAAGTTATTATTGACCTTACAGTATAAGTACAGGCTACCCAAATCCACTTTGTCTCTCATCTTGAGATGCGCAGTGGTTATAGGCCTGGATAGAAAAAGGCTGTTGTCTCTCAGCGACAAGACAATTGTTTTTGTCTTTGTCGCCATGCTCACACTTCTTGATCTGCGCAAATGACAGCTGAAGTGACATTGAGTCCGTCAGAGTTAGCAATAGATGTTTAATAAAAATGAGCAGTTACTGTTCCATATATTCAGTATTTCTAAAAATAACAAAAAATATCAGGCTTATAGGTAAATAATTATTATCGTGTTTAATAAAAAAATAAAAGTATGTATATATAGCATTGTACCGATTTAAATATTTTTAAACTAAGTATGAACAACAATACATATATATGATAAATAATATAAGTAATAGTATTTTTAAATAACAAACATTTATAACTTAAAATTATAAAACAAAACAAATTGGAAATTTTACAACTTTGGATCGCGTCATCTAGAGACATGCCTGGAGCTTTTCAATCCATTCTTGTGCGGATGTAGCATCTGTAGCACAAAAATTGTACGTTCGGCGACTAGTACGTAACTGAAATAGAAATATCATTCATTAGTTATACTATATTATTAAAATAAACCATCATTACAAGTCAAAGTATGTGTTAAATAAAAGCGCTCAATTATACTAAAACAATTTTTAATTAAAGGTGATTACTTGGCAACATCGCACTCGACGAAGCCCTTAACGATAACTTTTCAACGAAATTATCATGTGTCTTTTAACAGGTAGCTGATTCGCTCCGTGCGTAACCATGGTAGGGGTACCTTGAAATGATGCCAACGTGCGTAGCGGCGAAATATTATGACAAAATTAGACCTATCTTTCTGTTTTTCCCTTTCTTTTCCGTTTGGGGTTGCAAAGATAATTATGATGAATTTTTAGAAACCCAGTTTTAAATACATTTATTTTGTACACAAACTGAAAAAATATAATTAAAAAACTAATTATTAATTACATAAATTCCCCAAAAACAGGAAATACAAATAAATAAAGAAATTGGAAAACCTATATAAGAGACAAGAAAAAAAACTAAGGTCTGGAGCTTTATAACCTGATTCACTGCAAAAACTGCATAAAAAGTTCTAAAAGAAATTCCATAGAGTCATAAAGGAAGAGCAACTCTCTAACAAGTCAACCGTACGTGGTGGTCAAATAGTTAAAACAAAAATTTATGCTTTCCAAGAAAAGGTGTTGTTCTACAAAAGTTCCTCTAGTACTAATAAATTTCGTATAGCGTTATTCCAATGTGGTTATAACCACTTTGTAGTGTTCCCTCTAACAATATTCATCTACAGCCAGAAAAGCTGTTTGATTGAACGGTAAGCGCTGTCCATCAAGAAAGGTCTTCAGATCTTAAAGTAGATGGAAGTCAGGCAGAACCAAATCTGGGAAATAAGGTGGATATTTCAGCATTTCATACTGCATGTCCTTCAATTTCCGCTTGCGTCTTGGTCAAGAAGAGGATGCATAGGACATGTTTAACAGTAGAACAAATACTCGAAACAAAAAAAAGCATGAAAATAAAGATGTACATATGGTATTTGGAAACTTAAACAAAGATTTTACCTTAACAATGCACAAATTGTGAATATAGAAGCGAGCAACTTATGAAAGATAAAGATGTACAAAGATAAGAACGAGAATCATAGAGAACGTGGAATGGTGATACCTTCCCATTAGTCATTTAGGTCACGTGTTAATTAATCCCGCCCCATTAGAAAGAGATGCAAGGACCGAGTTGCGTCAGTTTTGTCACGCTGGGGAAACGGACCTGGATTGCAGCAGTCTTTTTGTATTATATGCCTATGGTTATATTATATTTCCCAGGATTTTTAAAAATAATCTTTTTTGAGTACGACTTCCGGATTGGAAATCGAAAAGTCAAACTTTAGTTAGTTAATGTAATTTTAAGTACAATCTTTTATGGCTTAATTCCTTTATAGACATAATATTTAAATATTATTTTTGCAATGAATCAATGAATAAACTGTATCAAGCAGGAGCTAAAAAATAAATTAATATACTTACATCAAAGAAAGACTTATCATCTGTCTTTTTCGGAGGACCAGGCGCTGGTGGAGCTGGATTTACCGATATTACTTCAGCCAAATCTAAAACAATAAAATACTCAGATAAAAATTACAAAGTTACTGGAAACATCGAATGTGTTACATATCGTTTGACACCAAAAAGAGATCTACTGTTTTATTTGAAATGAATTTATCTGTTAACAAGAATTAAGAATTTCTGTAATTCTGTACTAATCTGTAATTAATAACTTTTACCTAATCTGTTATTAATATCTTTTACGTAGCATGTATGTCTTATGGTTTCGCTTCTCTTGTTCTTTGTCTAAGAGTGGTTACTTGTTTCCAGTAGTATTTGGTTGGTCATGTCTTTGGTCTAGTTTCTACATTATATGTCTTAATTAGATCTTCTTGGTTTTTGATTTGGTCCCAATGCTAATGTTTTTTGCATTGACATTGACGATACATTGAAATGTATCTGAAGATAATGCACTGCCAAAAGCAAATAATATTGGAAAATAGGTAATACCAGGCGGTTAACAAGTGAAACTACTACATGAATTAATAATGTGTAAAGTAAATTTTACATAACAATTTTGATAGTAAAAATTGTGGGAGAAATTGAACAACAACTACGCATGAGAATTTTTGAACTGCCACTTTAAATCTTATTACTAGTAAACAAAATTTCTTTGTTATTAATATTTGTCATCTTTTCGGATTGCCTAAGATTATTAAGAAATACAACCCGCTAACGTCCGTTAATAGATAAGGAAATGAAATGACCCGAATTGTTAATAGAATTGAATATATTAACTCACCTATGTAACCTTTACAATGGGAATCTTCCATAGCGTCGTAGTATCTCAGCTGATGTTTGATCGAATCCAATACAAACCAACGTTGTTTCCATCCTTTGAGCAAAGCACCTCGTTTGTAAAGATATCCTTCGTGAGTTCTGTCTTCAGCCACATTTGATGAGAACTGATCATAGTATTGTTGACTAGATGTTTGTCTAGCGCTTCCTAAAAAGAAAATTACTGATATAAAAAAAGTGTTTAAAACGTGCATTTCGATTATTATAAAAATCCTAAAGCAGTCCTAATAATTTCCAATAAATTAATGAATATTAGGAATGAAAACTCCTTCACTCTAATTTCGAGCAGATGACAGAACCACATTCACAATTAAAAATGAGGGTTTAAGGAGATTGGCAAATACACTTCTTTATTCTTCTAGTTCCATGACGTTTATCGATCGTTGGATATCAGTTGGCTATAATATTCGCTATCTTGAATGTATTGACAGCCGCTCTAAATAATGATGTAGTCAGACAGATACACTAATATACACACTAGCGGAAAGAATTAGAAATTGAACTAAAGTAGGTAGAGAACGATGATAACGCAGTGAAATGCTTTGTGTACCTATGACAGGTACTGATCTAATTCCAATCAAGATAGAACTTTAAATGTATACTTAATATAAAAAGCTATGCATGCATATGTTGACCACCTTGCCACTTGAAAGTTCCAGCTTGCATCAGTGACATCACAGCGCGCAAGCGTATCAGGCCGAATTGTGTCTCAGTGTTAAAATGGAACCGAAAAAAAGCAGGTGCGTGAATAAATGTTTTTTGAAAAAGCAGGGATCGCAAAAGAAATACATGCCGACTTAACACTGATATTAGGGAAATGTGCTGTATCTTACTAATGAATGAAAAGGTGATACCGCGAGTTTAAATGTGGAAGATAAACATGGTGGAGGTCCATCCATCGTTCAAAAAAACACATCATTCTAAAAGATCAAATGGTCTTTTCGTGTTAAATTATAGACGAAACAGGCTTTTCATTTCATGTAGTTCAAAACATTATATCCAATGCTTTAGA